CTATTGTTTCAAGTAACACCTCAGGTAATTAACTGGAAGATTACACATATTTCTCTCTTCACTCTTGACATTCTAGTATCAGAACAGTTCAGCATTCCCACGCTAGCTCCCACTGTGTCACTTGAAGCAAGAATTTCAAAAGAGCACAGCATGCAACATGTCTAGCTCTCAGCAAACTCAGCCCCTTTGTGTATAATGAGTTGGTCAACAGTTGCACTTCCTGTCTCATTCACTAGCATACTACCACATCCTCTCGCTAATTTGGGGTCAGTTCACCTGTACACTTCCTCGTGCTTTCCAAGAGATTTTACCAGTAATGGCAGCAGCATCTCAGCTGAAACCGAAGAGGCAGCAGGCAGGCAGGCATATGTACAGAAGTGAGGAATGGGGGAGAAAGAAGTGTAATACTGTTCGCAGACCCACCCAAAAGATCCTAAGTATCACACAGCAGAAAAACCCTTACATCTTTAGGGGTTTTAAAGATTTTTTAACTACGTTGTCAACTGCTCCATTTTTTAAATCAGTCAATTATTTTAAAACAACAACAACAACAAAAATCACATAACCAAAAATCAATCTGAAATTGTCCCTCTAGTATTTTCTGCTTGCTTCTATGCAACAGAACCTGTGCAATGTGATGGGAAGGCCCATAAACATCACTTCAGTTTCCAAAGCTTTATTCATACATTCATGATGCAGAATCCTGACAGGCCAATAAATTAAAAGGCAGCAAATTGAGGTGATCCAAGGAAACAATTTCTAATGAAATGTACAAACACACTACCACACGATGTTATTGAGGCAATAGCCATAAGTTTCACTGCTTATGTGAACAGAAAAAAACTTCTGCCGCTATACTAATATGGACAGAAATCTAAGGGTATGTCCATGGAGACTCTACTATTATAGCTATCTCTGTGTAACATAACCAGATAGTGTAAACACAACCTACACTCAGGGGCGGCTCCAGGCACCAGCGCAGCAAGCGTGAGCCTGGGGTGGCAAGCTGTGGGGGGTGGCCTGCCGGTTGTTGTGAGGGCGGCCGTCAGGCTGCCTTCGGCGGCATGCCTGCGGGAGGTCCTCCGGTCCTGCTGCTTTGGCGGTAATTCGGCGGCGGCGATGCTGAAGGCACTGGCAGACATCCCGCAGGCATGCCACCGAATCTGCGTGCCCAGCGGACCGCCCGCAGGCGTGCCGCCGAAAGCCACCTGACTGCCGTGCTTGGGGCGGCAAAAACCATAGAGCCGCCCCTCCCTACTGATAGAAGTGGGGTTTTTTTTCTGTTGGAACACCACCTCCCCAAGTAGCAGTATCTACGCTGACCAAAGCATTCTTCCATTGACATAGCTGCATGTACACTGGGCATTAAGTCAACACAGCTAGGTGCTCAGGGGTGTGTTTTTTAACTCCCCCCCCTCCCTGACCAACATAGCTATGTTGATTTAACTTTTAAGTGTAGACCATGCCTAAGAATTATCAATCTTATGCTTCATGGCAATGGTTGATCACCTGCTGGGGTCAGGAAGAAATGTCTGAGGATGGTGTATTAAGGGTGTGTGTGTTTGAGATAGGGGAATGAAAGTAACAAGAATTATGCCTTCCTCTTAAAAAAGCAATACTGGCCACTCTCAGAGACTAAGTAACACACACAATTTGCCGCTGATATCTTCTTTAATTCAATTCTTATGCCACTACATATTTTTAAATAAATTCAGGCTTTACATTTTCATTAAAGAAAGGAATTAAATCTGCTATTTGTAAACACTATTGTGAATTTACAGGAAAACTCCAGCTAATTCACAGATCACATGGGCTCTCTAAGCTGTGAAATATGCCAATGTATGTGTGGCAGAGGAGTCACAATAGGGGGAGTTAGGAACACATGGTGAAAATTCATCCCTGCTGTGCAGTTAGTGGAGTTACACCAGAGCTCAATTTAGCCCAGGGTACCAGCATTATCTACACATTTTCTGATATTGATAATTTTAAGTAAGATGTTTAACATTAAATATAGTTTTGTTTATTTTACCTGGGATTTAAAAAATAAAATTCCTGCAGAATATAACAACACAGGATTCATTTAGCTAAAATACATGTGCTAGTTTTAGACAGAAAGATAATTGAATTGGTCTTCAGACTCTTCATTTTAAAAAGCATACATGTACCAGGATCAATACATACTAATCAGTAGGAGCGAGGCCGTCCTGCTACACTGATCTATTTGGACAGTCCCCCGTTTTTGATATATCTGACTTCTCCCTGCTTCCAGATCTATTTTTTTTAAATGACCAGACTTATGCACAAAAGTGATGGCAAAGAGAGTTCTCTTGTGCATTTTAATGCCAAGGTTGGTCCACCATTGTGGTTGGTTCTAATAAATGTGTGGTTCCCTGAAAAGCTATAAAATTGGGCTATTTTCAGTAAAGCTCAAGATTCAATGTATGACCTTCTCCCTGATCAATGTTTAAAACAGCTCTTCCATGCCAGATTAGGGAAGATTTTACATTCACTGGGTCAGGTCCTCTACATCAGTATAGCTTCATTGATGCTAATGGAGCCACGGGGATTGACACCAGCTAAAAATCTGGCAGACAGGGAGAGAGTTGGAAACATATCCAAATCTGGCATATGTATCTTTTCACCATGAGGAGCTCAAAGTGTTCAGCAGAGTTCTCAGTCAGCCTACATCACCAGCTAGAACAGATGTGGGAGTTGTAAACATCGCACTGTCAGTTCTACTTGTCCCTAACATGTCCCTCAATGAGCTGGGGGATCCTGCAGCTGCAGGTTTCGCAGGACTGTCTAAACTGGCTCTGTCCATCAGGTTATTATAATCAGCTGCAATTAGCATTCCCACAGGCTGCAGTGTTCTCTACCTTCAGCTGAGTGGTACCCAGAAACTTAAAGGTGTGAAATTCTATGCTGGCTTAGAAAATAGCAAAGAAAATTATAAGGAATTACTTCTGAGTTGCTCCTTACAACTGGGTGCCACGCTAACCAGTGTAAGCAAGAGGAGAACACATTGGCACCAATCAGAAATGGCTCTACGAAAACAGGGTTTGGTACATATCGCTGAAGGATCACTTCCAGCAGATATCAGTAAGACTGAGTTCCACTGTAAATGTTACTGTATGTGACCAGATGCTGGATTTTTATTGCTGATGAACTCAAACAACAAGCAATTTCTAGCCACCCACTAAAGAAAAGCCAACCACAAGCTGTCAGATAGATTCAGCAACAAATTACCTATATTTAGATGAAAATTCCTTCCCTGGCGACTGCACCTTGATGCGGCGGGAAGGCTTTTTTGTCCTAATGACCAGAGAGGGTCACTCTGCAAGCAGGAGTTTTAACTCCTGGTAGGGCTACCCAAGCTGGACAGGTCAAAAGGCACGGACCAGATGAAAGCAGCACACTGGTTATGGGTTGAGCAATACACCAAGCACCTTTCCTTGGGATAAATTTAAGTTATAGAACCACAACAAGGTAACCGTTCTATCAAACAGCCTGATACACAGGGGTGGTGGAGCCTTGTTCATGCCCTAAGCGATATCTGACGCTGCAGGAAAGATTCAGATTCAGACGCAAATAGGTGCAGCTTTCAGATACCTGGAAAATGGCTAAGAAGGCCATCTTGTCATAGAAGTTGGTATACTCAACACAGCACGTTCGGTACATCTGTATCTTGCTGCACCTAAAATATATTGACTCCGAAGGTTTAGGTGTGTGACTCAACACCTAGATACTATGCAATTATGGCCTCATTATAAATAGCAAAGACAAAGGAGATGCAATCCATCCCTAGGTGCTTTGTAAAAGTGATGATTGACCCAGTCTAGTCAATAGCACCAAAGTCCATTTGGCTGTCTCATATAAGAAACGGTTCTATAATTTTACATTTGTTTGCAAACTTAAAATGATCACCTCCAACTCCAATCCACTCCCACACCCTCCGCACCCTACCTCTCCTCTTTACAGTGATAGCTTGAGAAAACCCATTTGATTTGTTCTGATGTAAGTATTTTTTTATTTTGCCTCATGATCAAAGCTAGGAAATTCTATGCCAACTTCCACTCCAACCATACATCAGGGCTGAGCTACAAATCCAGTGGAAGTAAAGATTTACCCTAGAAATGCTGATGGACTGTTAATTGCAGTGCTTCTGCTCGGAACTATTTTCCAATAGCAAAAAGACTCCCTAAAGTTTTGGGCTTTTTACAATACACATTGTATATTTTTCAGTCCCGCCCCCTACAGTGCTTTCAACTTTCTGTTTAGCAGAACCCTGGAATTTTTGAAATAACCCCATGAAGGGAATGGAGCACAGACTGAGCAAATGAGAACCCTCTCAAAATTACTGATTTCCTGAAAAATCAGCACATTCGATTTCTGACATGTGGATTTAAGGATTAAAAATCCCTGGATTGCTGCTTGCTTTCTTCTCTGCTCTGAGCTTCTTCTCCTTCCCCTTCTTGTGAAGAAATCCTCTATTTTTTTCTCTAGATAATTAACATAAAACATGCTGTGGCAATGTTTCATAGTCGGATTATTAAAAATACAACAGTCCCTCTGATGATACTTTTTTAGAAAGTACAAGGAAGCTGGAAGAATTTGCCATATGTATATAATTGATTCCCTGCCTAGTGGATTTACAAAGCATGGGATTTGGGAGTAAACAGGTCTCTTCTGCAAGTTCTCTGCATGTGAAACCGCTGAGTTCTCCTCCTTAAACACATATGTGTGAAGGATTACATCATTTCAGAAGGTGTATCAGGCACCCCCCTTGCCCCCCAAAATACCTAGAGCAAATACTATCTTCCCATGTAACTCCCCAAGCCCCTTAACAGCCCACTCCCCTCCTCCTCTGTAAATTTCACATCACATAAATAGTGATGGGCTAGTTTCAAGTGGCACATGTTCATGTTTTTCCCCCTCTGCTGTCAAACCCGATGCTAGCAAATACACAAAAGAGGCAGAAAAAGCAAAGAGGAAATTCTTACCTTTTGAGGGTCTTCTTTGTCTGGTTTGTAGAGAAGAGAATGTACCCATTACTGCACCCATTGCAACAGCTACTTGTGAGGGTGGTTTTTTTTTTTGTTGCTCCCCCCACCCCCCAATGAACCACAATCTATTTGGGAAAAAAGGGAAAAAAGAAAGGAGGAGGGTAAAAGCAAAGCACTGCAGCTCAGCGTTAGCGTTCAGCAAGCGTTAAGCTTTGAGATTTTTTTTTTTTCAGTCAACACACATGCACTGACTCACAGCCGGCTGCACTGTTATTATTCAAAACAGCTCCCCATCAAAATTTAAATGCTAGATAGATTCCCTCAGACCAGAGCTGGCAGCAGATGCATCAAAATATTTACTGGAGCACAGCCACATAAACACACAGGCTAATTCTTCCTCTCTTTCCCTTATGGCTCCAACCAGCAGCCTGTAGGTCTACAGAGAAAGCATCAATGCATCTCTTCCAGTGCATACTAAACTACAGTTCTGTAGGCATAGTAAGGGTCTCGGGAGGATGCTAGGGACCTGGGCTCTGTACCAATCATGAATGAATAAAAATCTACTCAGTGGAAAATGATAGTGAACTAGCTGTCAAAGTCGCAGCTGTATGGAATGCACACTCCTGCTGATTAATATTGTCACATAAAAAGGTAGAAAATAACATTCTCTTAAACTCTTCTGAGGCACAGGATTCAGGGAAAGGAAACAAGTGTGCAATGGGGTGGAGGTAGGGGTGGGGGGAGCAGATAGTAAATTTCAACACGGCCACTCTCCGTACACCTTCTGACATGTCAGATGCATGGGAAATGCAGTGGCTGATAACCTAATTCTGTGCAACTCATAAAGTGTGCATATGTGTGTGAAAGAGAGACATACTCTTAGGATATTAAAAACAGCATATTATTGAAGCAAACGCCTATGAGTGTCAAATTTTTCTTGGTGGGATTTTTTTTTTCCAAAAATTTGATCCAGGACATAATATTTGCTACATTAAGATACATATATTGCTAGGTTTGCGTTGAACATAGGGAAAGGGAGGTAGAGAAAGAGTTAATGCCTCATCAGGTACCTGTCAGAAGAAGAATTCATTTGGTATTCACAGATGGTGTCTTAGAGTAAGGCAGCATCTGTGCAAATATTGCATTTGTTTGAAGAAATTCATTCTTACATTGCAGACTAAAGTATATTGTCCCAAGAGGTTTTCTTTGCTTTCCTGTAACTTCTGAATGAAGATTTTATCAAATTCAAACCTCAGTGCATCTGAAAATTAGAAGTCCTAAAAAGCCATTTTTACTGGGGATAAAGCATTTGGAGAGTTAATATTCAAATGCTTCCAACCCTGCATTTCTTGCATGCACATATATATGTACATCCCTTGTGTGCATCAGTAAACAGCTCTCATTTAGTGCTTGATCACAATACATTCAAACAAATAAAATTCTCTATTTTCCATGTTTGTTTGTTTGTTTTACAACTTAAAATAGGAGCACTTGTGCATTTTAGTGGAGCATCTTTTTTAGAAATAGGACCTTGGTATTTAAGCGCAACCCTAACTGAAGGCACATCAGAATTGACAACAGAAATTGGGTTACTGCACTGTTTCCCCTTCCATAAGGGTGTGTCAAGCGGCTGGGATGTGTAGTATGTTTGTGAGTTCACAAAGGTGTTTTTTATTTGCACCTATTGTCATTCACACTTGAGCTCTTCTGGCACGTTGTCCCATTGCTGAGATCCTGGCACTGATAGATCCTACCATCTGATAGTCTAACTCTGGGTTTCTCCAAGCTGCATTGTCCTGGAGGACCGTACCTGTCTCAGAAGGCCAGGGAGAGCATGGGAGCTGTACAGTTCTCCTTAAGGTATACAGAGTTTGTATTAAACATTTAAACCATTTTTATTTAAATATTACCTAATTCTAACAGCGGCAAAGGAAACCTGGTGTTCACTGCATCTCCCAGCAGCGCAGGGCAGGGAGGATGATGGTAGGTCTCCGTAGCCATCTCTTTGCAGAACAACAACTGCTTCACACAGGTGTCTCTGAGGTAACAAGATCTCAGTGTATTTAGAGCTTTACATACACTGGGATTTTTAATTCTGGCAGAGGTCGATGTATTTGCATCAGCTTTTCTTGCATAGGAGATGCACTGCTCTATGCAAACATCATCAGGCATCCCTGATCAGAAATGTGCTCCCACATCCACCAGGAAAGGAGTAACATACACACCAATAATTACAGGGCAGTTACTGTAGTCATGAGTAACTGGTGCCAAGAACCTGGTGCTGCTACCTATGAAGAGCTAGTTGCTCATGTGGTGCTGGTTCTCCACCTTATTTCCAGCTTCTTCTACAAGCTTCTAGGCTCTTCAATGGAAACAAGGAGGAGCCAAACTAGCTGCCTTTACTGGGAGCTAATCCTACACCAGAGAAGGAAACAAGAGCTGTTAGCATGGACTGGAGCTGCCAGCCAAAAACCACAAAATAAAACCACAGAGTGTTCAGAGGAATAGGGAGAGATGACAACCAGGCTGAGGAACAGATTCAGACAAGAAGGAGACCAAGCAGCAAGAGAAGCATGGGCAGCACGAGAGAGGAAGTGAACAGATTGGAGTGGGAGAAGAAATGAAGAGCAAAATGAGTGAGATTAAAAGATTAAGAGATCACATTCTCTGGAGAGGTGAAACTACAACATTCAAGACAGTTATAAATAAACCAATAATTTACTAATATTAGGTCCCCTCAAAAGCAGCTTCTGGTGTTTCCACAGGGATGCTCTGTGACGGGGTAGGAGGAAACAAGCTCTTCAAGGTGTGGTTTATACAATGAAAAAACTAGGAGAATTCTTGATCTAGATAAAGTTGTTGCTTTCCAAAAATCAATGAGCAATTGCTCCTGTCACATCGTTCAAACACGAAACCACACACGAGTCTACACAGTGAGTCACCCGTTATGAAAAACAACATTACAAATGTAAGTGCTCTAAAGTGAATCTTCACAAAGATCTAAACTAATTATAAAGAGATGCCACAAGGAAAGCCAGATGGAAATTAACTCACTTCAGAATTCCTCCTGACACATATTGGACGCTGTCCAGGAGGAAAGCATAACACATCAGCCTGCCCATGTGGAGAAAATGTATGGGAGAAGGGGATGTTGGGTGATAGGAGACCAGCTCCTGTTGCTGTACGCTGGTGGGAAATAGCAATTGGGTGCTAGGCAGAATGGGGGAGACAGTGTTTCCTATACTCCCCATATTCGTTATTCTTTGAGACTAGGTTTTTCTCTTGGCTAAGAAATCGACACTGACAGCTTTTAGTGAAATAAAGCCATGCCATTGAAATGGGGAAACCAGATTCTGTATATAGCTGATAATTGCAGCCTTTGATCGTGTCATGTGCAATGTATAAGAGTGGCAGGCTATTAGAACAGGTTCCCAGATCATTATGTCAGAAGAACCCTCTGACACACATGAACCCACAGCATAAGTCTCGTAAAAGCAGGACCTCGAAGTACAAGGACACGCCAAACTCTAATGAAGTTCTGTGTATGCATATGGACGTAATAGGCAGAACATTTATTTCTACCAAGATGAGTTTGGAGATTTACGGACTCAAGAGGTAAATATTTGTTTGCAATTTGATAAATGCTGATGTTCATCTCACCAGTCTACATATGTATTGCTGCATGTGTTCAGAACATTTCCAACAAAGATAAGTGAAAATCTCTGACATGGCACTGCACTTGAGAAGTATAGCAGTACTGGCTTTTTAGTTAACACCCTATATGGCAGAGGCGGTGAGAGGTTCAGAAAAATACCTTGCCGATCCTGGCTGCATCCAACTGGGAAACTCTTATTTGCATACTGTGATCTAATTGACTAGCATTGTTCCAGGCCTCAGTAACTATTGCTGGTTTTTTCAGTGGTCAGTACTGACCAGTTGTATGACTATCCTACCAGCTAATATAGCACCAACAATATTATTCTTACACACTATGAAACAGTATTCATGATATTAACCCCTTTGCTGCATTTAACATGGCTGCCTACTTCTGTGCTACCACAAGGAAACTACATTTCACAGCACAGTAGATGCTCATTTGTTGAACATAGCCAGTAGGTTTGGCCGCAGTGCGGCAGTTAATTACAGTTGAGTACATGTAAATATAGTGGCAGCAGTTACAGAATTAAATTAATATTGATCTGATCCAAGGACACTGATGGGGTTAATATGCTCTCCTCCGACTGTGGGAAAAGTTCAATCATCACAGAAATTGCAGGAACAGGGTGATTGGGATCTTTACAGCCCACTCCCTGTCAGAGGATGAGATCTTGCTCCCTTGAAAACAATTGGTGTTTTACTATTGGTTTCAAAGGGTGAGAGACCAGGCCCTTATTGTCATGGCTTTAGCAACTGGTTTGCAGTGTTTTTGCTGGGGGGGTTGTTACCATTCCCTCACATGGTTCCAGACCTTTGTCATTTTCAGGGTCTAAAACTGGAACAGCCAACTAGAGTTCTGGCAAAACATCCACCTATTCCTATAAAGCAAAGCGGGTATCTGGAACCTTCATTGCGGGCTAAGGGCAAGCAAAGGTCCTCCCGGAAAATGTCAGGATGCTAAAATCACTGACACTTGTAAACTTTTTTTTTTTTACTTATTAATTTCATCCAAGGTATAGTAATGTAAACTTACATAATAGGAGCACAAACAAAACTGCCTCATCTGCCCCTTGTCATTCAGGCCAGAATTGTCACTCTTGGTTGACTAAAGAAGGTACCTACATACAGATTTAGATGGCAAACTTAATTTTTGCCTGTTGGATATTTGGGACATTGGAGGGATGAAGCGCAGAGTGCTGCTGGGTTTTGCTTCCATTCACATAGCATGATGTTTGGAAGGACCTTCTTTCTTCATACTGTGACTGTTTCAGGAGGGCATTCTATACCCAATCCACACTCTAGGCCGGATCCCGAGGCAACTTGTTTCTTTCAAGGTTAGGTGACCTGTGGCTGCCTGTCCTCTCTCTGCACATATGATGGTACCACCTCCACTGGTGGGAAGTTGGGAGCACAGTAAGAAATAGGCAGTGAATTGCGCTGCCACCATTGGCATCAAGATAGAAATGCCAGCGGCCATGATTTCAGTTGTGTCCCCTGAACTGCATCTTTGGCAGATGCTCACAAACAGAAATGTGCAATGTTAGTAGAAATACCACTCTGTTCTGGGGAACAACCCTCTGGGTATGAACTGCCCTGGAATGCATAGCTGTGGCTGCTTCTGGTATTATTCAGGCACAACTTCCTTCACTAAAGATATCGGGGGGGAGGGGGACACATTAATTCTGTATCGTCTGGTACAGTTACTAACACACTGTCTGAGATGACAGGCATACAGATGCAGATGCTGCTCATGAGTTACTATGGC